CGCCGCCCCCGGAGGAGGCCCGCCCCAGCCGCAGGCAAGAAACGGCGTCACTAAACCCCGAAGGGCTTCGCTGCCCCCTCTCTTCAACACAAACCAAACCGAAAGGGAGAGGGGTCAGAAGACAAACCAGGAGGGGAGGCGAAGCAGGTCTGGAATGGCGTTTGGCTCTGGCTCACTTCCCAGCCCGCCGCTTCTCCTGGCGCTTGGTGAGGATGTATTTGAAGAACTCGTACACGGACCAGGCGATCGCCGTTGAGGGCATCTGATAAATGACTCTCGCCTGGACCCCTCTGAAGTAGGCGGTCACGCCGCCCACTTGGTACACCGTCCTGAAGGCATTGGCCATGCCTGTGATGTGTCCACTGATGTTGGAGCTCAAGGCCAGGGACTCCTGGGTGTTGAGCAGTGTTTTGCAAACGTCCAAAGGCGTAGTGGCAGCAGCAGCGACAGCCCCCGCGCAGGCTCCGGAGACCACGTGGGAGCCTGGGTTGTACTGTCTGTGGGGGTTGAGCTGCTCTTGCAAGAACTCGTAGGTCATGAAGTGAATGGCTTGGAAGGGGATGTTCATGGTGAGCTGGGTGGTGTAGCTGCGGTAGAAAGCTCCGGCCCCTTCATTGCGCCACACAGCCCGCACACAGTCCGTCACACGCTGGTAAGGCGAGTTGTACATCTGCATCCTCTGTTTGACCACTTGGGACGGATGGCAGCAGCCAGCAGCAGCAGCCAGGACCCCGGTGCGTAAAGGAAGAAAGAGAAAGGGTAAGCGCGAAACCAGGCTTCCTCCGAGCACCTGGAGTTTAGTCACACTGGCTTAAAAGCTAATGACAGACAACTCGGACCAGCAGTGTCCTGCGTGTCCCCGGGCAGGACTGCAGCCATTTAGATCTGCCGAGGCATCACGGTCGCACAGACATCACCACCTGCAAACCCCACAGCTGCCGCAGCCCCAGGGAACATCCTGATACACGGGTGCTTATACTCCAGATCCACCCTCGCTCCCGAGGTCTCCCCATTCACCACCGCAGAGCTACTGCGAGGGGAGAACGCCCTCCGCATCTATTATTTTCCAAGAGCTCTCGATCTGGACAAGCCTGTCCCTCCCCAGCTGCCCCTGCTGCTGCCCAAAATAACCACAGCGCATCGCAGAGCCCACCAGCCAGGAATCGTTAGCGGCTGGCGGTGGACCACCGCTGAAACACAGCCGCTCCGGGGCAAGAACCAGACACCAATCCCCCCCAACACATCCATGAGTGGTACAGGGGAGCCCAGAGCACCGCCTGCTGCTGTCCTGCCTCTTCCTGTCTCAGGGTGACCACAAATTCTACAGCTGTGATAAGAAGATGAGCTCCAGGGAAGGAATGACAATGGTCTGGCCACACAACTGCCTGCTCCTCAGGGTCCCAGCGAGGCAGGGGCAGGCAGGAGCCTCGCTGGGCCCAGATCAGCTGGAACCTGCGTTGCCATGACCCCTCCAGCTTTAAAGAGGAAAAAGTACCTTCATGACTGGTCCTTCCTCGTTATTCCTCCTTCTCCCACCACGTTCACAGGCTTTCACTACAAACTCCCTCTGCCTTTTTCATACATACCAGGCTCAACAAAATCACTATCTTCCAAACATTTTGCAACACAAGATCTCCCTTCTCCTGACCTCTCTCGCGTGCCTTTTGTGCCCCATTCTTTTCATTTTCTTCCTGAACACAGGCCCAGAACCGTACCGCATCTTCCCGAGATCTCACCGCAGCAATGCCCAATTTCCACACACCTGGAGTGACTTCAACAGTAAAGACGACACCTCTCGTGCCTTTTCTCCTGCTCCAGGTAACCTTCCCCAGCCAAAGCCCTGGGCTGGTGCCCTCCCGGCTCCTCCTAACCTGGGGTTCGCTGCGCTACCCTGAATTAATCTTCCTACCCCCTCTGTAACGGGCA